TTTTGGAATGTCATAATGTGGACATTTCCTAAGCAAATCATTAAATCTCTCCTAAGCTCCATGTAGAAGTTCCCCATCCCCTTATGAGAATTCACGAATTAAGGTTCGCATGGCATTGGTTCTAGAGGCCGGGTAATACTTCTTTAAGAATTCTTGTTGCATCTCCGCCTAAGAGGTTATGGTAAGAAGCCTCAAGTTGGCAAACCAATACTTGGATTTATCTTTAAGGGTGAATGGGAAGAGTTTCAACCTTAGAACCTCCTCCAGCTATTTGTGTATTTCACGGTGGAACATACTTCAAGAAACTCATCCAAGTGTTTGTAGGGTTCCTCATTGTTTAACCCATAGAAATTCAGACACATTTTGATGGTTTGAGGTTTGATCTCATAATGGTGCACTCTAAAATTAGGAAGTCGGACGCATGTGGGTGCATTATATTTATGCGGCACATAATGGTTTTTCAAAACCATGGGAGCATTTGGGGCTTGTTGTTTTACTTGAATTCCAAGATTAACTTGACCTACAGGAGGTGGTGGCACAAAGAGTGGCCTTGGCATTCCAAGTGAAACTTGGCCAATTGGTGGTTGAGGAACAAGTGGTGGTCTAGGCATTCCCAAAGGAACGTGCATATTATCATGTTGTTGTACATTGGGTTGTTGCAAATTGATAGGATGGGAGATTCCTTGTTGGTCTACATGACCGAGATCCTCAACATGATCCTCCAGTGACGTAATGGGGTAGTCAAAAGTAGGGAGGATTGAATTAGAACTACCTTTACCCCTTGAATTACATACAATCGATTCAAGATTAAGATTCAATGGAAGAATAGGACGATTAAGGGACCTTCTACCATACATGCACAAATCAAGTCAACACACCAACAAATATCACAAATATCAACACTTCTCCTCCACAACAACGATCAATCAACAATCAACCTCCACATACATTTTTCCTACACTCCTATGCTTTCAACATTTAAAATAAACGGCCTTGACAAGGACCAAAATACAATTAAGGTAAAGAGGTTTAAGATACGCTCACAAAGTTCCCAAGCAATATTAGCAACTTTAAGGTTCAAGATTTGCTTCAAGGTCCAATGCTTGCTTTCCTTTGCTCCAAGTACCTAATTGTAATAAGTAACAAGTGAGAAAAAAAAAAAAAAAAAAAAGAAGAAGATAAAGACAAAGATCAAAAGAGTACTAATTCCTATTTTAATTTCGAATTCGACGGTTGACAATCCCTGGCAACGACCCCAAAACTTGACACGCGTGGTCTTAGGTCACTTCACTAATGTCAAATTATGAGTGTGGTTTAAGAAGCCTTTTTGGTCAAATTTAAATTTATAAAACCACTACTACTACTACTACTAATGTAGCATAGGAGTAGGATCGTCCCAAGAGATTATAAGGGTATTCGGAATAAAAGTTGGATTAGTAGGTCAAATGATTAAAAGAGTGGTTTGGTTTAGTTTAATTATACTACAATTAACTAAGGAACATGCAATGTAAAACAAGCTAAAATTGATTAAGGTGAGAGAATAGGAAAGAGGTCTTAGGGCATTGGAATCACCGTTAAGCTCTTCTTCTAAACCACTAGTCTTTGACAAATTTGGGAAAATTTAATGTTGTAAACCAAGTGTGTGCTAACACAATGAGCATGGATGACTAAACAAGTGTGAGTTGTCTACTTAGGCTTGTGTGTAGCACAACTCATCAAGTTAAGATATTAACCATTCAATAAACCTACAATTGTAGCACACATCAATCTAGAGAAATGTACATCTTGTAATAATAAGCATGGATCATCAAATACAAGCATGAATTGTCTACCTATCTAGGAATTTAAATGCAATTACACTACAATTACACTAATGATAAAGAAATTAAACTAATTAACTGAGGTTGTAGAACAATCCATCAAGCATAAGCATAACCCGTCAAATCAATCACAGGTGTATCCAATAAGCACTATGCATGACCATCACTAGATTCACAATTCAAACACACATAGACATGCATCAAATTTATAGAATCTAATGTAGAGACATAATCATCCATTTCATCACACATAGACATGTAAATAAATTAGAAGATTAATTGGGAGAATTGAACCATGTAAATCACAAGGTCAATACATTATTTATAACAAGAATCTTCAAAAATATCAAAGAGCTATAGTTTTAGAAGGCAAGCCTAGGGCTCTTCCAAGCCCCAATAAGAGGATCTAGCCACTCATGGATGTTGTCTTACAACCTTCAAGGGCTGTCTTCATGGTTGAATTCATCTTCTTGCTTCTTTCTTGCCTCTTGTCTTACTCAAGAACCCTAATCTCTAAAGAGAGAAACTATGTCTAGCTATGTAAAAACTAGCTAAAGAACCAAACTTGAACCCTATATAATTGATTCCATTTGATTTAAAATACAAGCTCCTTTGTGTAGTGAACAAGTCAGAAAATAGCCTTTTCATTGGTGTAATCTCGTAGCCCCAAGTAAGATAGAATTCGGGCGCACTCCGGAATTAAACAACTCACTACCAGTAGGATTTCGATCGATCGCCGGGGTCTTCGATGGATCGCTAATGGCTTCGATTGATCGTGAATGACGTGATAAGCTTATCTTGAGAACTGGCGACCTTATCTACTTAGCTGGCACTGGCGTGGCACTGCAATCGATGGCCAAAAGCTTCGATCGATCACCACTTGGAACGAATGATGAAGTGGCAGTCTTATCCTTTTCTTGACGTGGCTTCAATGGATCGCCAACCTTTGATTGATCATGGATGAATCTTTGATCGATTGAAAATGCTCCAGGGTAAATTTTCAGACTTTTTCTAGATTTTCTTCTTGACTCCAAAAAGGGCTTAATAGGCTGTTTTTAGCTCGTTTAAACCTTATTGACCTGAAATCGACAAAAATATAAATTAGGACTAAAATAGGAAAGTAAAGATAGATGAAAGGACTAAAATACCCTATCTTAGGTACTAAAATGTGCAACATTTGAGCACTTATCAAGTGTCAAGCAAAGAAGATGATAAAAGAACTCTGACAGAAGGAACGTTGTCCCAAACGTTTAGCTGAAGGTACTCAAGCCTCAAATTTGCAAATTTAGAAGGAAACGAGTCAGTCTTATGACCTAGAAAATCATAAAGATAACAGAATAGCTTGATTACACAAGCAAAGTAAGAAGACTCGCCATCATTATCAAACAAAGGAACAGAGGGGGTATGAAAGCTTGACCGGTTGGGAAACTCCTGAAGGGACGAAGGGCGCCAGGCACCCCCAACCTTAACATTTTTTTCTTTCCACTCTTTGTCAGAAGAATTAAGATTGAAAAATAAAGCACGGTTCATACGGGTGTGAAAATGATACCTCCCCTCTTCATCTCTAATCATATTGAGAGAATAACAAAGAGAAGGTCGGCTAAGTTTAGAGACAAACCCCTGACTTGATTCAAAGCCAGAAGACACAAAAGAATGCGGAATAAAGGTTCACCTGAAGTGGCACCAAATTAAAAACCGAAAGAACTCGAAGATAGAAGGGATTCAATAGAAACCTAAAAGTAGATAAGTGATGAGTCGAAAAAAGCATCTCGCCCTCTCCTGTACTGCAATTCAAGTCATGAGGGTACTCCTCAACGGGAATTTTGTTTTTCTTCCTTAATTGAGGGGCTAAATGGATTTCCTCTCCACCACATCGACATGAAGAACAATCGGACCCTCAACAACGCGTTGGTCACTCATGACAACATCAGGCGCCTCTGACCCAAATTCAAAAACCCTAGCACTTAAGGTACGGTTGTTACTTCTTGGCTCATGGTTTTGAAATCAAATGAGAACAAATAAGGGAAGAAAGGGAAGAAGATTGACCTTCGAGAAATGGATGGAGTTGCTGTAAGGCAGACGTCTTTCATAGATGCAAGAAGTCCCTTTCAATGTGTAGACCAAGGATGGCAGTGCAGGATATATAGACACCAAGATAGAGAACGTGCAAGAAAGAGGAATAGCCACACAAGATAATGAAACACAATCCCTGGAAATGATGAGTGTTAGCATTTTGAAACCGCTCAACTTCCAAAAATAGTTACAATTCCTTATATGAATCAAATTCATAAAAAGAATTAGGGGCAAAGTGTGGAGGGAAATTTCCCACCACTCAGGAGACGCCACATGTCAGTAGAATAAATAAAGAAGCCCAACCAAATATAGCGGCCCAACATACAGAAGTCCAATACTTGAAACGATCTTAGGGCAATAAACTGGCCCAAAGAGGCCAGCAAGGAAAGGCCCAACACCAGGAGCATTTCCAAGGTCATGAGTCGCCTCATCAAGCCCAACCTAGACAATGGCCAAATGCAGCTGGCAGTAACGCCTAGGATTAATGATGTGCAATAATAAACATTCAAAACAATATTTGTAACAGCTCGTAATGGTCCCTAAGAACTCTAATTGTAACTAGTATAAATGTGAATGACAAAGCCCAGAGAAAGGCATCCAATTGACTATGCTATTTGCCATTGTTCTTCCTTAATCCCATTTTCCAATCTCCTACTTTCATGTCTGTGCTTGTTTTTAATTGAGTGTTAAATCCTTTGAGTCGAATCATTTTATTCGAGCCGAATTTTTGTGCACCTCCAAATTTCCTTTCCTTTCATTTTTTTTTTTTTTTTTTTTTTTTTTCAACATGATTACTATTATTTCATTTCTTTTCTTTTACTAACGAACCAAACACAATGAGTGGTTGACAATGTCTTATCCTTCCCTTTTTTTCCTTTGCTCTCCTAACGAATATTGTCCTTTCTTTTCTTTTTCACTCTACCCCAAACCTAGCTTAAAAAACCTAGCATCGTTAAATGAAGGTTTTTATTTATTTATTTATTTTATTTTCTTCAGAAAACGATGCCGTGTCAAGACAGTAAAGAATTGGGATCTTTGCAGTCTTGGGGAAAAAGAAACTAATACGACGCCGTTCCTTTCTCGCCCGTACCACTAAACCCTCTCTGTGTGATGTTGGGTGGTTTTGTGTTTCAAAGAATTCAAAATGGTTGTCTGTACATGGAGTCTCTTTGCTCCAACAAGCGATTAGTGAAATACTCACCAAGAATTGTGCACGATTACATTCAGAATAACCATGTCTAGGTTTCTTTTCTCCTCCTTGAAGAATCGCTCTGCAGAAACTCTGAATCTACTTAAACGGTCAGACCATATACAATCTGTATATTTGATATATATATATATATTTGTATATATTGTGTTGGAATTTCTTCGTTATATGGTAGTTCACATGTTCGATTTCACACTTTTGTTCTGTATTTGTTCTTCGCAATCGAATTTCGACTCGCATTTACTTGAAGTACTGTGAGTGTTAGTATAATCCATGTACGGCAAGTGACTCGCCATTTGTTTTGGTACTTGATCTTGATTTCTGAAACTGTTATTTATTTTAATCTGTATATTTAATATATATATATATATATATGTTGTGTTGGAATTTCTTTGTCATATAGTCTTTCACATGTTTGATTTCACAATTTTGTTCTTTATTTGTTTTTTGTAATTGAATTTGGACTCGCATTTGCTAGTAGTACTGTAATTACAACCTAGTGTAATCCATTTCCAGTAAGTGAAACTGTCATTTATATTTGATGTGTAGGTTTGTGTATGTATAGTGTTGGAATTTCTTTGTTTTTATAGGGTTACACATGTTTGATTTTACACTTTTGTTCTATATTTGTTCTTTGCAATCGAAATTCGGTTCAGCATATGCTAGTGGTAGTGTAAGTGTTACTTAGTATAATCTATATCCGATAAGCTGCGACTCACCATTTGTTTTGGTGCATGGTCTTGATTACTGAAACTGTTATATATTTGATGTTTGGGTTTGTGTATATATTGTGTTGGAATTTCTTTGTTATATAGTCTTTCACATGCTTTATTTACACTTTTGTTCTGTATTTGTTCTTTGCAATCAAATTTCGATTCGCATTTGCTAGTCGTAGTGTAATCCATGTCTGGTCAGTGACTTGCGATTTGATTTGGTACACGGTCTTGACAACTGAAACTGTCGTTTATACTATTTGATGCTTGGGTTTGTTTATTTGCAATTGTCTTGAATGATGTTAGTACTGTTCCTCCTCCTCCTGCAAAATTCTTTTTTTATGTTTCCACCCATACTTCTAGAATCAATTTTATTAATTTATATTTTAAGCTCAAGATGAAACAAAGATGATGAGGCTGTTGATTGATTTTTTTCTCTGTATTGTTTTTCAATTTAGGACACAAATGAGTTGTATTAGGTATTTCATTAAGTGTTGGCTAAAATTAGTATACTGGTAATAATTGTGTTTAGATTTTGTTTTATGTATAAGATAATCATTATATGGCTCCAATTTGTTCTTTCTGATTCTTTAATGATTTTGTTTCTTCATGCTCCTTGAAATTCAGTGAAGCCCAATTTTGTTGAATATTGTTGCGTTTTTCTCGACGTGATGTGACTATTGATTTGTTTGATTGCTTGTGATGGAGATCATAAGGTGTTTTGCACATGGCGTTGTCACAGGGACATTTTGTTAGGGATATTTTAGTATTTTCATTTTTTTTGGATACTTTTAATGTTTGTTGGGCATTTTATCATATTGTATAATCTTCTAGGGTTTGCCTAAAAAAGTTTGCATGTAACCATAACTCATTGGTTTTTGATGTTCTTCTTCTCTCCTTTTATGTTCTTGCTTTCCTCAATCCCTCCGTTTGTCTAACCTTTCTATTCACTGTCTTCTCCCCCCTTTTGTTTGTCTCCTCACGACATTTTTCTAGCTCATTTATTCTCCTATTTTGTCATCTCCTGCTTTCTTTCTCGTCCTACTTTAGCTTGTCAAGACATTGTCCAAGTTTGACAAATTTAAGCCATGATTCAATTGTATAAATAAGCATAGAAGAATGAATAAATCTAGAGTAAATACTATACAACTTATGAACCATATAATGTTTGTTGTTCTCATGGACTCCTAAATAAGTCTAAACATTTATAGTCAAGGGTAGTTCCCAATTGATGATTTGTAAATAACGAGAATGAGTTTTGGAGTTATGTACTCAGTCCTTGGGAGTTTTAAGGTTTATGTTATATTTAACCAAGTTACTCTACTTCTAGCATTAACTATCATGGATGGATATTTCTACATGATTATTATATTAAGTTCAACTTTATATTAACATGATGTTGTGCTTCTTAATATCTATTTTTATATATTAATAACTTGATATTATTGACATGTTTATTTTTGTGATGAATAATTTATTGATATCATTGATCAAGGATGGCAATAGAGTAGGTACAGGATGACGTCCCTTGCCACCCCTGCCTTCGCTGCTGTTTCTGCACCTTGACCCCATTGTCATTCAATACTCCAGTCATGTTGTTAGCACATGTCTCATCTCAAATCCATTTATGACTCCTTAACTCCATCTCGATTTTGTCTTACATTGAAGCACCAATACAAAGATCAATTAAACCCCAACCCTAATTTTCCGTAAAGTATATGGATATAGATTTTTTCCTTGAAAAGTTGGATCTTTTGTGAATCAATGCAGATAAATACTATGGCCAACTTAAAGGATACGGCGTGGCGAACATGTTGATATCAATGACAGATAACTTTAGATGTGACAATGATGGTAAATTATGAAATGGTGGTGTGTCAAGATATGTGTAAAGAGAGAGATTGTGTGAAAGGGGAGGAAAAGTCGACTAAAAGTGAAAGCGTCCTACTTTATAGAAATCCTGGGGGCCGTTTGGTTATTTTAGAAAGTAGTTATCAAGAACATGGAGCATGTAAACTAGTCTTGAAAGAACTAGGAAAAATTGTTCTCTCTCTTTTTACCATGTTTTCAAAGAACAATTTTCAGAAAACTGCTAATTCAATGAACTTATTGGACTGTTTTTGTTTTGTGTTCCCTGAGAGTGGAAACTTGGTGTTAGAAAACTAAACCACTAATTTCTTGTAAAACCGAGTGCTTCAGTTACAACAGAAAATTTGCAGGAAACAATAGTAACTTGAAGATATAAGTCATATAACAGAGTGACACTGGCATAACTCTTAAACCCAGCCCCCCTCCCAATTGAGCAAAACCGAACTTGTGTAGCTTACTTCTCCCTGGACCCTCCCTTGCCTCTACTAAGTTTAAACCCAATCCTCCTCCCAATTGAGCGAAACTGAACTTGTGCTGGATACAATAGTTTAAGAAATGCATCCTTTTTAGTTTTTCAGGTGGCTACAAAAATCATTCTTCAAAAGATTGAGTTTGTCCCGACAAGCGGATCTAAAAAAGCAGAGACGATGGCTAAAGACTTAGGCTGTGTAGTAGGCAATCTTTAGAGGCTTACCTTTGGGAAGAAAATCCAAATCTGCAGCAATAGAGGATCATTGATAGAAGTTTGAAAAGATGTTATAGCGATAGACCGCTTATGACTTATCAAAGGAAGGTAGGGTTACCCTACTGAAGAGTAGTTTTAGACTTGCAACATATTTTATGTGCTTGTTTGCCATTATAATGTAGGTTTCAAAGTACTTACCAAAAAAAAAAAATTTAAAAATAAAATAATGTAGGTTTCAAAGTGGGGAGGAAAATTACAAAGTGACTTACCATAATAGCAAAGCTTTGACTATGCATATGTTAGCATATATGATAACAGACTTTTTTTTTGTGGAAGCTACGAGTAACGTTATAGCAATCGACCGCTTATGACTTATCAACGGAAGGTAGGGTTACCCTACTGAAGAGTAGTTTTAGACTTGCAACATATTTTATGTGCTTGTTTGCCATTATAATGTAGGTTTCAAAGTACTTGCCAAAAAAAAAAATGTAGGTTTCAAAGTGGGGAGGAAAATTACAAAGTGACTTTTTTGTGGAAGCTACAAGTAACCAACTTAAATACAATTTGGTTGCCGAAATATGGCGGGTGTTTGGGTGTTCACTCTAAAGATCCTTTAGGGAAATGGATGTGGAGGTTTGAGGTTGAAAAAGAAAGTTCGTAAAGGACGGTGTCTTTGAAATTTAGCAGTGAGGGGTTGAATGGTTTGTCAAAGATGTTGTCATTTCTTTTGGCTGGGGTGTGGGAGGGCAATCTGAAGGTTATGGATGATTTGGAAAGGTGCAGTTAGGTATTGGACGGAGATTTTGCATGAGATATATGTTGGGGAATACTCCTAAAATTGACAATTCTCAGAAACTGCATAAGTTGCTGATATGTGCTTATTATAGATTACTTTTTGTGGTCCAAAGATAGGCTTTTATGTGTTCTTTGTTTATAAGGTGTTAGACTGACAACGAATTGAAGGCAGTTGTCTCCCCTTTGGAGAAGGAGCTTCACGTGGCTGAAAGTATTAAGATATATGGATGACTCCTTTAAGTAGGGCCGACGCTTCATGCCCCTATGATTTGAGCCCAAGACTGAGGCCATACGTCAACTTAGCTACCTTGTGGCGGTTAGAAAAGCGTACTCCTTAAACATCGTATAAAATTTGAAATAGACTGTAGTTGTGGATATCATATCAAATTTAGATTCAGGGGACCGATTTTCAGTTTAGGGGAAAGTAAATCATTGAAAATTATCTTACATCAAACATCATCTAAACTTTGAAAATAGAATGTAGTCATGGGTATAATATAGCAAATTTAAATTCAAGGGACCCATATACAGTTTTAGGGGAAAGTAAATCGCTGAAAACTATCTTCAAGGAATTTTCCTCTCTCTCTCTCTCTCTCTGTGTGCGTCTGTCTATCTCCCTGCAAATACATATTTAGTTTTCCTTTTTCATTGGAATATATTAATTCACATTAGTCAATGTGCTTCTGGTGTAGGTCTGGTCAAAGTAAGCGATTTCACTCTTCCAGCTACTTGAGATCAGCAAGAAGGACAACTATTCCTACTGTGACTGAGCCGATACCAACTTCTCATTCATGGCGTTCATATATAATTGTATGCAACCTAAACTCCATCAGTCCATCATCAACTTGGGTTTATTTGTGCCGATTCTTATGTTCAATATTTTTCTTGCAGCCAACTGCTTTACTTGGAGGAATTGGTGGGGCGTTAATATTTCTTCATTATAATGACGAGAGGAGAGCAATTCCAAAAGGTGTGCTTATAATAATAATACTATTTTTTAGCATACAATGTTGTTAGCTAGCTGCTTCAATTGTACCAGATTTGGAATATGGGAAGTTTGTGCTTGAATATTTTCACATTTTAGTGTGTAGCCGAGTCCATGTAACAATTTTTGGGATTGGTTCGTTTACTAAATGAGCTCAAAAACAAGTTTGAGCTCGGCTCGTCAACTTAATGAACGAGCTTGAGTTGAGCTAAAAACGAACCGATCCCGAGCTGGTCATAAAAAACTTGGTTCATTTTTAGCCCTAGCCCTACTGGTATGATTCTAGTAAGTTCGTCTTGTTCCTTGTCCATTCCTTTCAAATTTAGATCCCTACATCCTAATGATCTTACTCTTAACTCCAGCCCTATATTATCCTAAATTTCATTCTAATTTTTTTTTTTTTTTTTAACTTTCAGCTATTTGAGGTTTCCTAAAGTTCCTATATCATTTTGGTTTTAGTGCAAGGTTGCCATCATGTCTACGCGATTGGGAAATGGGAGATTGATTATCATAACGACAAGTAAATATTTTGAATAATACAATAGTTTAATGGGATTTATGTTAGGTTGGATGATATTGAAGCTCGAGTTTCGCAGCCCACTAATAATTTTTTTAGCCGTTGAACGACGAGATGCATCTAGTAATCATAATGGCAGGAATCAAGAGGAACAATAGTTAAATCAACCTCAAAATCTTGCCCAAAGGTGCGGGCTTGAAGCTGAAGCACCACAAGCCGATGTTTAAATTGGCCAGAGATGTATTGGAAGTAAATTGTCATGAGCCATATAATACAGCAGGGAATATGGCAAAAAGTATGGATGGAGTGCTGGATTTTGAAGGTAAGGTTGATCCTACTCTATTTTCTGTATTGCTTACTTCAATCAAGGAATAGTTTGATTAGTATGATAAGTGGCAATTATAAATTGTAAAGTGAGGTTTGCTAGGATGGAACTTGTGGGCTTTTAGCAAAAGTTCATTGGCTTGGTGTTGAAGGAGACATTAGGAGGTTGGGACAATCACCAGTTGACGACACATGGCAAAAGGAAAAAAAAAGTTCTGATTGAAGTACATGCCTTCGAATCATGATAAGTTACGTAATCAACTTATTGATCTAAAAAAAAGCAGCATGTGGGTGTCATGTGCAAAGATTTGATGAGCTAAAGACTAGGAGTCAAGTAGTAAAAGACCCACACAAGCGCTTTACTTACTCGAGTTAAGGCTGGGCTAAGGTCTAATATATAGAGGGAGTTGCTTTTCATTGGACATGGAGGAATACTTGGAGCATACAGTTGTTTGAAAGTTAGGAAATCAACCTCAAAGGACAGCACATAGGAAGTTCTGAAGATTGTAGTAGACATGCAGTACTAAAGCAACATTCAACCAGCCTTCTACATTTGAAGCATCTTTAACATGTTTGATCTGAAAGGAAAGAGTCCTACAACTAGCAGGGAAGGTGGAATGGAAAACATGTGCATTAGGTATGAGGAAGAGAACATGGCTCATAAATGTCCAAAGGAAAGTTACACCTTTGAATCGAACATGAAGAGCTAGCTCAACAAGGTGTGTATAATGAGAATTTGTTTGATCATGGCACCTACAAAACTAATAGAGAAGCCTTTGAGAAATACAAATATGTAAAAAACGGAAGTTAAAAAAGTAGTGAAATAAAGTAAATATAGAGCATATGATGATCCTTATTCTAAATTTGGTACAAGAGATAAGAAAAGAGTATGTATAGACTTTCTAAACTAATAGAGAGGATACTTAGAGATTTAATCATATTAAATTTATTAAGAGTGAAGATTTAAGGGTTTTAGTAAACGATAACAACATTAAAGAAAGATGAAAAATTCACTTCGAGAAATTGATAAATAAAGTTATTTAGGAAGTTTGGGCTTAGAAGAATATGGTAAATTAGGAAGAACATATTTGTCATAGGATTAGGGAGTTTAAGGTTAAAAATATACTAAGGAAGATGAAATCAGGAAGGACTCTAGAATCATAGGGCATTCCTATTGAGTCTAGAAGTTTTTCAAAGATGGTAGCATGTCTTGGCAAACAATTATTTAATAAGATGATAACAACTAAAAGAATTCCGAATGAGTGGTGTAAAAGTGTCAGTACCTACATATAAAAATACAGGACACATACCAAGTTGTACTAATTATCATGGTAGTAAATTGATGAGCAATACTAGGAAACTTTGGCAGAAATTGATTAAACAATGATTAAGATAGGAAACTGAAGTGTTGGTGAAATAATTTTATTCATGCCAGGGAAGTAAAAAATGGATGCTATTTAATTATTGAGGAGACTAATGGAACCACACAGAGGGAAAAAGAAAGATCTTCTTATGGTTTTTGTTGATTTAAAGAAAAACCCTATGGAAAAAAAATGGGAAAATCATATGATATGGTACCTAGGGATCTAGTATAGAGGGTTTAGAAAAAAAGAAGTCACAAAGGGATATATAGACATGACAAAGGACATCTGTGATGGAAGTGTGACTATAATAGAGTGATTGTGGGAGTAAGGTATGAATTTCTAATTATTGTAGGCTTACATCAACTATCACTGTTTAAGTCCCATTCTTTTTGCCTTAGTTCTGGCTGACCCAAAAAAAAACACATTCAGGATGAGATTTATAGTGTAAGCTATTTGTTGATGACATTGTGCTAATTGATGAAACTAGAATTGGAGGTTTGGAAAGAAGCTCTAAATTAAAAGAATTTCAGATAAGTAGGAATAAAATTGAATATACGAGATGGAACTTTAGTAAATTAAGAAAAACAAATAGGTAGGTAGTGAAGATTCTGGATCAAGTGATGCCAAAAATTGAATATTATCCGTTATTTAGGCTCAATATTTCAAAGGAGAAATTGAAGATGATGTGAACCCTAGAATCAAGACAAGATGGGTTAAATGGATGAGTATGTCTAGCATACTGCATGATGGATTTTTTTCCTCTAAAATTGAAGAGGAAGTTCTATAAAACAGTGATTAGACTAGTCATTCTTCATAGGATAAAATGTTATGCAACTAAGAAACAACACATGCATAATGCATGAAGTGTGCCGGAAATACGAACGTTCAACAAGATGAGAAAGGATATAAATAGAAATAAACACTCGCAAAATGGTTGATGTACCACTAGTTGGAGATGGATCCAGCGCTGCATTTCTTCGGTTAGATTCTGTATTTTAGTTGATGGGTCTCGACTGGTTTCTTTGACAGCTCGAGGGGTTTGAGGCATGTGATCCTCTATCTCCTTTTTTCTTTATCATGGTGATGGAGTCTTTTAGTAGGTTGAGGGCTGTGGAGTTGGGCTTCATTAGGGGTTTCAGAGTGGGCAACCTCCTAGCCAGGTGGGGATCTCTCGTCTTCTATTCACAGATGATACTATTGTGCTCTGCCATGATGACGAGGTCCAGTTGAGACATCTAAGATGTGTTTTGGTTTGCTTTCAGGCGGTATCTGGTCTGCAAGTTAACCTTCAGAACAGTGAGACAGTGTTGCCAGGGGGAGGTTGGTGGTATAGGTTCCATGGTAGATATTTTGGCTTGCAGAGTCAGGTCTTTCCCTATTTCTTGGGGCATCTTTGAGGAGAGCTTCTTCTTGGGGCCTGGCTGTGGAGCTCTTCAAGAGGAGATTGGCCAGTTGGAAGAAGTAGTGCTTGTCCATGGGGAGAAGACACACTCTTTTGAAGAGCACCCTCTTGAATCTTTCTGACTTACTGCATGTCCTTGTTTCATTTGCCCACTTCAGTGGGGAAGAGGATTGAGAGGTTGCGGTCGATTTTCTTGTGAGGTTGTATCGGTAAGGAGTTTAAGTACCATCTTGTGAACTGGAAGCAGGTGTGCAGGCCCATCCAGCTTGGTGGTTTGGGCATTAGGAGGTCGGATGTCTTAAACAAAGCGCTGTTAGCCAAGTGGCTTTGGTAGTATTGGGGTTGAGAGGCTCAGCTTGTGGAGGAGAGTGATTTCACGCAAGTATGATGATTCTAGGTGTGGATGGTACACCCTTGAGGTGAGGGGCTTGACTGGTGTGAGCGTTTGGAAATTCATCCGTAGAGGCTTGGGATAAATTTTCTAGGCATATTCAATTCAGGTTGAGGGATGGGAGGCACATCAGATTTTTGCTGGACATTTGGCGTAGGGACAGACTGCTAGCTTGTAAATTTCTGAGCTTGTTCAGGATTGCGGTTGATTCCCAGATCTTGGTTGTTGACTGTTATCGACTTGATAACAGGAGGTTATCTTGGGATGTCCGCTTCTCTAGACATTTCTGATATTGTGAGGTGGTTGATGTTGGAGATCTTTTGGCTTTGCTTTGCTTTATTGCCAGTTTGTGGCGGTCGAGGAGGGTGGATGAGTGGATCTGGTCAATTATTACCCTAATTTTTAACGTTTGAAAGCCTCAAATCGTTCGAGGGGAGGTCATTACAAGATTTTTGACAGATTTCATCTGTGTGTAATTAGGCCAAACCTCAAGGGAGGTCAGTGTATTTAACCCTTATTCTTTTGGGTATATGGGAACACTTGTGAATCTATGGGGGAGTTCGTAGATTTTGTGGATAATTTGAAGGTATGGTTTTTTTTGGCCTCTGTGCAATTGTTTCGAGATGTGCTCCCTCTTGTGCACTCTTTTAATGCAATTTACTTATTAAAAAAAGGGAATAAATGAGAGAAAATCTGTTAAGCTGGTTTGGACATAAATGCAAAGAAGATCACCAGGGGCATTGGTTAGGAAGAGTGACATAGTCCACATTGAGGTTAATTAGAGGGGAAGGGGAAGACCAAAATTAACACACGTTGAGTTAGTAAGGAATGATATTATAACTTTTGTTTTAATTGAGGTTGTGGCCTTAGAGAAGAACGAAAAACGTGATTCATGTTGCTGCACACTGAATTTTTAGAGAACACTTTTTGACAATTTTACATGAAAAAGTGCTTGTTATAAGCTGCAACTACGCCAAACGGGCCCTCGGTAGTCATAGTTGATTGTCAGCTTCCATCCAACCAAACCAACAATTTGTTCATCTTGTCTTGGATAAACAATTCTTTCATTCTAAAAACTCAATTGTTTCGTTTTCTTGCGATGCTTCTATTAATTGTATTTGGTGTAACATAATTATCATGGAAGTAACACATATTCTTCTTGGTTGGCCATGGCTTTTATGATCAAGATGTGTATTACTGTAGGAAGGAGAACACACATACTTTCATATTCAACAAGAAATAAATTGTTATGAAGTCTATGTCTTTTGTTGAGATGGTAAAATATAAATGTGAGAAACCTAAAATTGTTGTTGAAACCAAACAAAATAAATAAATAAATAAAAAGCCAAGCTCTTACCAAGAGAGTACAAAAATGGGTGCGATATATTTTGGTGTGATGAAGTCGGTCAAGGAAACAACTAATTTCCATGTTGCTATAATGTCATTTTGGATCACTTTTAAAAAATGACACACTTCACTCCTTACTTGAAGACTTTAGATGCTGTTAACGTTGCTAAACTCTTCTTGGAAAAAATTATTTGATTTCATGGGATTACCCAACTGAAGCGAAGCTTCATGTGTTTCTATTTCCCGCACCTTATGAAAGTTGTTGAATACAACATTGAAATTTTCTTCTTTTGACCCACAAACCAATGGTCAAACAGAGGTTACTAATCCAAGTTAGACGGTGGAATTGAAGTTGCGGATGATCTTATTAAATGGAAGGGACCGTCACTTTTTGATTGTACGTGAGACATTGAAATGAGTACCAATGCCTAGTCTGTACTATATGAGCAATTCTCTGCTTCTAACTTGTTGGAGTCTAGTTCCTTCAAGTCGGGGAGATTTGATGGTGATTAGTGGTGTGGACAGGAGCGTTTTAAGGCCCAGTTTCATCTTATCTTTTAATTATTATGTGTAGTAAAATATTTTTTGTATCCCGTGATTATCAAATGGGTATGTACCTTGAGGGTATGTGGTAATTTAGAAGATAAATATGATTTTTGATGGAGAACATCTTATCTACTCTAGAGGTCCATGCATATTAAATTTTATCCTTGGTGATGGGGAACAAGATATAACACTTGTGTAACAGCTGCACATAATTCACCTCTACTTTTGGAAAAGTAGCAAAGATAGATAGAATTAGGGATTGGTATAATTAAGTTTACATGGTTTATTTTTATTGTTTTGGTAATTTCAATTATTATTATTATTGTCTTTTTTCACTCCTTTTCCCCTACCTTGCTCTCTCCTTCTATCTGGTCTCATCTATCTTCTGTTTCTCGTCTCCTCTGTGAGTTATCTCACCCCTTTTGTCTACCCTCTTCTCATTTTCTCTCTTTACACCCCCTTTCCGTCTTTACACCCTCTTTTCTTTCTAATCCTTCATCAATATCATAGTATTCCTGTCCTACATGTCTTACTCAATAATGCCCCCACCTTTTTCAGTTTTTGCTCTGCTAAAACTTACGGTAGATTTGGGATCATTTATATGCATCTTTTCAAAATAATTATCGACGTTATTTTGTTACGCAAATTTTTTTTTTTTTTTTTTGAAAAGTAACTGAGTTCTTTCAGTTTTTGCCCCCGCTAAAACTTACAATAGATTTGGGATCATTTAGACTCATCTTTTCAAAATAATTATTGACGTTATTTTAATGGAGTTTCGTGACGCTAAATTAATTTTTGACAAGTAATTGTGTTATATTTTTCATGAGATCAACATGAAGTGGTGGCACAAAGAATGTAACTTAGAAATTAAAAAATGTCGTTTATGCTTTGAAAAAAAAAAAATGTAGTTTTCTCTCATTCCAAGTATTTATATTGTGTGTATATATAGTATTATTTTTTTGTTTAACTTAGCTTGTCATCAAGCAAGATTTGTTATTGTTCTTATTCTCTTTTTGTGAAGTTGTCTAATAAAGGGTTTTTATAATATCATTTTGGGGAAATTACATCTATCTTAGGCTAAGAGAAATTACGTGTGCCTCAACTATTATTCCAAAAATTACTCCGTCCTCCTTTAACGTTAGTACTTTGTAACATTTTCATCCTCTGATAATGGTTAATGAGTTAACTGATGAAAATAGCTGATATCAGCAAAAGTAAAGTATAAAATGCTACTGTGTATTGACAGGATTAGCCTTGTTAGCTATTATGAAATGACAACACTAATAGGATGATCAAGTTGCAAGTTTTTACTTCTCAGTGAGTGAGAGATTTGTCTCCTGGTATTCTCGAGAGGGCTTGATGGTCTTAAGAACTGTTCGGGTTGGGGGTTTCTCTAAGAACAAAGAAGATGACTAGAATCTAATTCATGTTCATGCTAACTGAAGAGCGGACCCAAAAGGCCAATAAAAACATAGGGAAAGGCAAGTCGGGGTTTGTTCTGGCCTGGATGACGCCCTGGAGTGTCATGATTCTCATTCAGACCCATTTTAACATATTTCATGGAAGGTTTTGCCCTTATCTTTTACATCACGGTCGACCAAACACTTTAAGGCATTATTTGCCCTCAATTCATGCTTTGTAGGTAGGGGTTTAGAACCAGGTGCTCTCTCTGCTTGCCCTAACATTTGGTTTGATTATATCTAGGGGTTTACATTACCAATATGTAAATGACGCTATGAAAGTGAATAGCAGCAGAAAGTTTGGTTGCCCATGGTCGCTGAGGTAGTATAACGACCTCTGATGCAGTGTAAATTGGTGTTGCCAAATTGTAGTAAATTGGGATATATTAGAGAACTCTATACCTTCAGTTGCACACACAAATATATATGTATTATCTTTATTCCATTGTCTGAACATGTTCGTTTTCTGTTAATGCTCATGTTGTTGTGGCTGATTAAGAGTATTATATGTATATTTAGTATCATGGCAACATGACTTCTCTAGGCCAATACATGACATCTCTTATTTAATTTTCTAATTTTTATATTAAGAATTGCATAATGTAGAGGATGAAGCTAAGCAAATATCATAAAGATTTTTGATATATATATCTATATATATATATATATATATATATATATATGGTGCTTCTAATATGCTATAATGTCTTTGCCATTCTAATTATATTCTTGTTCTATGTTAAATAGTGTATGTTGCATGCATGTCTTCTTCCATGTTTATAGTCAGTTTTTCTGGAGGGAAGAAAGGTTGGATGCTTTGGGATGGCAGAAGGGTGATCAAGTGATGCAAATTTAGGGTTAATCTTACTTTTAGGGTCGTTGGACATGGCTCCAAAAATTTTGTGGTGCATTAGGCTTGTGTTAGGGAGTGTGTAGGATGTGTTGGCCAAACCTCCAAAATAATAAAATTTATTCTTGAATTATGGATTGGAATATGAGGTGTCAAGTGTGTAGGAGTGCTTTGCAAAATGTGTCCAACATGTTACAATACCTTTCTGTGCTTCTTAAGAGCTTAATAAAAAAATCAATTAATAAACAAAGAAGTCTAATGGAGCTTCCACCGCATGATTGCTGATATAGTGGGTTTATATATCAACTAAGTTGAGAGATATCAATACATACCGTGTCATTAGGGTTTGATCTAAGTTAAATTATCAGCTGAACAAATTAAGTAATAGAGTTTTCTTTTATTTTATATTTTTTTCGTGCCGAGGAGTTTAATTTAACTTAAATCTTTCTGTTCTGTAGTTGACTTTAAAATAAAGTCTTTACTCATATTAAGTTAAGTCTCAAGTTCTACGTGGTATCTTGTCGATCTACCTTTTGGAAAGTCGATTCCACAACAGACCTGAAAAAAGTGGAAATGATTTTATTATTTCACCATTAGACTTTTAAATATGTATGAGTTAATACTAATACATTTAAATGAGATTAATAATGTTGTCTTTAATCTTACATAAAAGAATAATTTTCCCTCTCCTTCCACCCACTACTTTTGGATTGGAAGGAAAATGGTAGGCCTGAAGGAACTCTTCATCCCTTCTTCCATCCTTCTCCTCTTTTTCTCCTTCCTGCAAAATAATGGAAGCTTGCTTCATCCCTCCACTCTTCCCTCTCTTTTCTCCCACCAAATGTAAGTACTCTCTGAAATGAACTTCGAAGTAGATGCCACCCTTTAAATGTCCACTGCCATTTACGTAGCAATGGGATCCTTGCTTAGGCACGTCATTCTCATGCAAAATGAAACGATCTACCACATTTAATAAACCCTTAGGGGTGGAAATGCTGGTTAGTTTATTGCATTAATAAAATTGAAATTGACATAGCCTGTCCTTGTCTTTGATGTATCTTTGCTTCTAGCTGGTTTCTCGTGACTTGGGAGTCACATTCTTTCAGGTTTAATTGGAGCTCTGCTTTCATGTCCAGTCCAGAGAAAGGAGGAAATTGAAAAATATTTCCAGGAAACATGATATTTGTTTATAGATTAAATTATCTGAAAGCAAATATGTGTGTTTTCCTCCACCTATCAGTTAACTAAAGGCATACAGGAGACAAAAAAAAATGTATCTTTTTACGCTTTCAAATATTGCACAATTCTACTCTAGAGCCTTTCCTCTTTTTGTATTTTGGAGCATGACATATATATTGATCTCGGCATCCATTTGAGTTAAAACTTTCAATAGAATTTGTTAATTTGTTTGAGAACGTCTCCCGACCTTATAAAATCCATATAACAGAAAAGAAGAAGTCTTTTTTACTCTGTAAATATCAAAAGTGGCATATATCGAATTTTAATCTTCTGTGTGTTTCACTGGTCCAGGCCAGGGAAAAGACTGTCAAAGATGTACCAACGAGGGACCCATAATTGGTGGCCCTTTCAGTCTGATTGATACAGAGGGTCGGCTAGTTACAGAACGGAACCTCAGGGGTAACTGGGTTCTTCTCTACTTTGGTTATACATCATCTCCAGACATTGGGCCAGCAGAAGTGCAAAAAATGGCCAACGCTATTGACGTATTAGGTTCTACTCTTTGTCTTGACTTTGTTTTATATTTTGAGCTATTCTCCTAGTATGACCATTGATTTTTAGTATTTTATTTGAACAAGAGTCGAAAAAGAACCTTAAGGTTCTTCCCGTATGTGTGACAATTGATCCTCAGCGGGATAACCCTTCACAACTCCGTGCTTATCTTAAAGGTCAGTTTCTTATTCACTTCAGTATGTGCAACAATATGCTATCCTTGTTTTGACTAGAGATGGTTCAGCTAATCTCTCTCTTGTCCACTTCTTATTTGGGATGCAGAGTTCGACGCGAGAATAGTGGGATTAACAGGACCAGTTGCTGCTATAAGACAGATGGCACAGCAGTACCGTATATTTTTTAGGAAGGTTGAAGAGGAAGGGGATGATTATCTTGTTGAATCTTCCCACAACATGTAAGCTCCAAGCCTTTCTATATATGGTTCTTTTAGTACTCTTTTGCCATTCCTTTTGTTGCTTGAAATCAGTTGCAACCAGATGTATTCATGAATAACGAATATAAAAATAAACAGGTATTTGATGAACCCGAACATGGAAATAGTGAGATGCTTTGGAGTGGAGTACAATGCAGAGGAGCTATCAGAAGCAATAGTCAAGGAGCTAAAGAAAACCGGAACGTAATTGGGGTCCAGGCAGGCATTAAAGTTTAGATGCTGGTACAACATTTTTTGGTGTGACACAAACGAAATGTGAGTTAGTGGTTGCTAGAGGTGGTTCGATTCATGTTACACATTGACAATGAAGTAGTTTGTTACATATTATAGGACGTATGAGGTTTAGAAACACAAATGAATTTTATTAGAACCGGAGGAAATCAAAAAGGCGATCAGTTATTTTTTCCCGAAGGATACTCTTATAATCTTCATCTTCTTCTAACTAACTTTATATATTGCACCAATGATGAAGTCTAATTTGGCCAAGGCCAAACTACTGGAGGTTGCTTGGTGCTTGGGCTTTTCGGGGTTTTCTCAACGGCCAAGTTCAAGTATGTGAAATTTCACACAGTCGGGAGCACAAATCCAATGTCCCATTACATTGGACGCACAATTTTATGGGTCACAATGTGTGTATATTTTCTCCAATTTAGTTTATTGGTGATTGAGCATGGAGGGGCTTGATGTTTTAGATGGTGTAAACTTGCTTATCTTCCATGAGTTTATTGTTTCTTATCCTCAGATATAAGTTGCATATTTTGTTTTCCTAATATATAGGACTATAATAGTGAACCTTCTATTGCTAGGTTTTTCAATCTTGAGCTTTGAAATTTCTATTATTGTTTTGATCCTTATTGTACACTCTTTCTTTCATCTTCTTGTTAAAATAAAAATAAAAAATAAAAAAAAAGAAGGTAAAAATAGAAAAGGAAAAAAAAAGAAAAACAGAAAAAAAAAAGTCCAGTTGACAAGGATGTGGCAGAATGGTTGGTTACAAGGTAGAAGATATAACAACTGGCAATAATACGTGGAGTGCTCAAAAACTTGGAGCTACTTGAAATCCTTTTTTCCTCTTAAGGTTTTGTTTGTGTTTTGGCGTAATGGGTAATGGGTGGGTACTTGTTTATTTATCCAAAAGCTCAAAATAACGTTCTCTCTCATCTAAACTCGTAATGCTCTCGTTGTGATCGGGCCATCCTGTCTACCCGAGTGAGTCACCCAGAGGCCTTTTGAACAGACGCTAGGTGTGGCGTCGGATTAAGGATTGGGTCTGGCTCTGGTATCAATTGTAATGGGTGGGTACTTGTCCATTTATCCAAAAATTCAAACTGTTAGATAATGTTGTATACTCACCCATTTATATTCAATGATTTTTCCATCTGAATCCGATGTGAGATAAATGACCTTTGTTACACTTGGCTACATGGAATATTTTCATTACTCTCCATTTAAGGTAATGTGATACCCCCGAATTTCCGAATGCGGGTTGGCCAGGCCTACGCTCGAATACCCGAGGATATCAAAACAAATTGATAATAAACGAACACAGAGTACAAAAGAATAAAGAAGAATAAATAAAATGCTGACAAGAAACTAAAATGATAATCTAATAATAAACCTCATAATATATTTTCATTAATTAATAAACTCTTCTGATACAACTGATCCTCCAAAATACAACTCGGGAATCCATACTGTGTGGACCCCTAAAAAATCCAAACTAAACAAATGACAGTAATCTAAAACAGGAAACTGAATCATAAAGGAACTCCTATGTAGCATCGGAAGAATGAAGTAGACTGATCCCCGCTCAGCACGAACAACCTCTACTCGTGACGAGCACCTGAAAAATAATGGTGGGTCAGGCCCACAAACAAGTTCTACTCTACTACAATCCAAGCAGAGATCCGATACACGTATACATCGTAGTCAATCCAACAGTAACTAGTAGTCCGTATATATATATACATACACTAAAGGAACCTCACTAGACTATAGGGTTGTCTCAACCTGAATAGTAGGCAACATGCAAAACGCACATATAGTGGGCATGAGTACCTAGACCTACCAGGGTACACAACTACACTATATCTAGCTACACATCCCTGGCGATATACGCGCCCTAACCATTGATCCTGAGACTCAAACTCATATCATGGCACCATACTTATATATATATAATCTAGTAACCATCCTATCCAGTATAAATTAATCCTCCATAAGTCATTCAACTTGTTCAGCTGACCTGACTTGAATATAAGTAGAACTTAACATTTTAGTTAATCCATTCCCTTATATAATAAATTAATCCTCCATAAGTCATTCAACTTGTTCAGCTGACCTGACTTAAATATAAGTAGGACTTAACATTTTAGTTAATCCATTCCCTTATATAAAATAGGTAGGGCTTAACTGATAAGTTAATCCATCCCTAGAATGCCACCGTCCTATACCGGTGCATTAAACCACACAATCCAACAATTGATGTAACAATTAAGGAAATACATCAAACATTCCATAAATAACTATGATAAAGTTATCACATAATAGGAATGACTTATTATTTCTTTAAACTTCCTATACCATATGTCCTACACAAACTGAATCTTATACATGATGATATTTTATTATACCGTTAAATAAGGATTCTCTATATCCAATTCATCCTACACATTTAATCTCAATTGCTAAAAGATTTTAAAAGATTAAATCCATTCGTTTGTTTAAAACATTCAAATAGCAAGTATCATTATGATTGAGTCTATTTAAATTTATTAAAACCCAAACCTAGTCCCTATTTAATGTTCAGGAATCCTAGGCATGTTTCTACGTTCCATCATTCCACAGATATGAAAAATATATAATTTAAACATGTAAAAATTCACATAAGAAATCAAATCAAAATCATGCATTTTATCAATTCATAGCACAAGAACAGATATGAACCAATTTCATAAAACATATGTTCTAACCCAATTAAACATGCATAATTATTTAATTTTATGTGTTTAATAAATTCTGGAATTTCCTAGGCATGTACAGAAACACGAATCAAATGGAAAGAGATAGAAGAAGAACTTGCCTTAAACTTTCGGATTGAAAGTTAAACTTCTTCTTCCTTGATCTTTTCTCTAAAGAGTTTTCTCCTCCTTCCTTCCTCTTTCTCCTTTTCTCTCTAACTCTCTCTCTCTAGAATATATTACGTGATATATTTTCACTCCTTTTTCAACCTATAGTTGTGTATTTATAGGCTAAATAATAACCCTATTCCTTTTCCCAATCCAAGTCAACTTAATAAAGAAAAATAAAAAATAAAAATATTAAAAAGGTAACTTAAAATATGTTAGGTATATAATCTATGTATATCCTTATTAATTAAATAAAATATATACATTAGATTATTTATTAATACTAAAGTTACCATAATATTAAAAGGTAACTTAAAACATGTTACGTATATAATCTATCTATATCATCATTAAATAAATAAAATATATATTATTTATACTAAAGTTACCATAATATTAAAAAAGTAACTTAAAACATGTTACGTAAATAATATATCTGTATCCTCATTAAATAAATAAAATATATATATCAGATTATTTATTTATACTAAAGTTACCATAATATTTAAAAGGTAACTTAAAACATGTTAGGTATCCTTATTATATAAATATATAAAATATATACATCAGATTATTTATTAATACTAAAGTTACTATAATATTAATAAATTACTTTCCTTTTTATATATATGTATATACATATATATCTATATATATACCTATAGAACTATTTATGGGTAATTATCCATACCTATCTAACCTCCTATCCAAGTAATCCATGAGACCCAATTAGTTAGCCCATTACCACTAACCATAACCATAAAATAAAATAAAATAAAACATTTAATCATTTAATTTACAATTAATTACAATTAATCAAATACATCATTTAAGTACACAATCTAATTAAACAAATAATACAAATAACATCTAGACAAAATACAAATAACACATAAATAAGTAGCCAATTAATCAAGTAACACTTAATTCAATTAAACACATAAACAGTTAGTCAAATAATCAATTAAACAATTAAAAAAAATACAATAAAAATAAATAAATAAATATCGAGACTATCCTTTTAAAATTAGGGGTATTACAGGTAATAGTCTCAGTCAATTTAGAAGCTGTTATATTTTTATTTAGTAATTTTACCTATTAATTTTGCTCTTTCTTTTCTCCTAGCATTATTCTCAATGTGGATCATGTTACTTTTTCTAATCGAGGCACTTAAGAGTCATTTTTGCACATGTCTAAACCATCTCAGCTGATTTTCTCTTATTTTATTCTCAATTGGTATTACTGCAACCATCTCACTCATTTCTAGTTATACAACATATTCATCTCAACATTTGCATTTCTACCACTCACTTTATGCAAATGTTGTTTCCTAACTCTCCAAAATTCGATACCATAAAATATGGCTGATCTTATAATTGTTTTATAAAATTCTCCTTTCAATCCTAGAAGGTACATTTATCACATAATATACATTTAATCCTAACGTCATCTCTAATTTCTCCATCATTATGAATATTGAACCTAAATAACTAAAATGTTCACTTTTTATTTTTATTTTTATTTTTTATTGTATGTACCTCTTTTCTCAATCCTCTCATCACACTGATAAAGATGTTGGGGAGTTGAAGTCTAAGAAGGATGTTGGGAGTTGAAGTCAAGTGAACAAAAAAAAGAAAAAAAAAAAAACTACTAACTAGGGGTTACATAAAAATAAAAAATAAAAGAATATTTTATAGTGACATTTTCCAGTGTTTGAGTTTATTACATACAGATTAACTTGATTCCTTTTTGAACGGTGACACTCCCACATATTTAATAAAGTTAACAATATAAATTATTACCCTTTGATTGATTAGTTGACTTATTTAAATATTAAAATTACTTTTTTAACAGCCCATTTTGTTTGGTCCTTAACACACTATTTTAACACTGTTTTCTCAATTTCTGCAATATATTTTTTTCTAAAATAATAAAAAGGACTCCAATAAGAAGCTACTCTTTCGTAAAGACACTGCAACTCGATTCATTACATGATTCAAAGATTTTTGAATTATTCAAAAAGAATTGTTTCTTAAAGTTTTAATCATGTGGTCCATATGCATACTCTTACACTTGCATGACTGGAAAGGTTGAGGCTACAAGGCCACCAAAATCTCCCATTAATTAAGTAAAATTTCAGGAAAAATATTTTTATTAGCATTCTGCATTGAGAGAAATTATTACACGGTCATTCGTCGGATTATAATGATAGTTTCAAGCTTACACTTCAATTAGTTGCTTTGGCAACTATTGTATTACTCTTGAAAAAATTTGAGGTAGCGCCTCCAAGGAAAAAAATAATTTAACATGCATTTGTCTTGCACGTCTTGGACTTGAATTCTAGTCCTTATTTTAACCCGGTATAAAGGGTGTTAAGGTGGTGGAGTAAAGAAAAAAAGAAAAAGAAAAAGAACAAGAAAAAATTAACCCATTTTTTTATTTTTTTTTACCGGGCAAAAAGACAAGCCAAACGTCATACGGCATCTACAAACAACAACATCGGCCAAAAAAAAAATTAACCGATTTGATCAATTTATATGTGTGTAAATTTATTACTGAATGATGTAGTAATTGTTGTAGTTGTTGGTGGCGGTGGTGGTGTTACTTGGTTTATTAATGTGAGAATACGTTACTATTTAGAGTTAGTTGTTTGGCCCAATAAAATGATTTGTAAACGTTAGAAAACTAATTTTAATATTTAAATAGGTCAACTAATTATGTAATAATGTTATTAAGGTGTCTTTGTTAATTTTATTAAATTTAAGGGGTGGTATTATTCAAAAAAGGAATCAAATTGTATATGTCGATAATAAATCCAAAATCCAAAGAGTGTCGCTATAAATTACGAGTTAGTTATTTGGCTCAATAAAATGATTTGTATAGGTTAAAAAACTAATTTCAATATTTAAATAGGTCAAGTAATCAGACAATAATGTCATTAAGGTGTCTTTGTTAATTTTATTAAATTTAAGGGGTGTTATTATTCAAAAAATGAATCAAATTATATATGTCCATAATAAATCCAAAATCTAAGGAGTGTCGCTATAAATTACTCAAAATAAAAAAAGAAAAAAAGGGCAAAAGCTTTGGACTTTTAAACACTGGTAGAGAAGAGAAGAAAGAGTAGGTACTAGGTAGGTCAAAAAGCATATGATATAGCAACTGGCAATCAATCATACGTGGAGTGCCTCAAACTACTTGTACCTACTTACATCCTTCCCTCCTCTTCAGGGTTTGTTTTGTGTTCTAGCTGTAAATGCAATTTTATTTAAAAAAAAAAAAATAATAAACTGTGGCATTAGGTACACCTCCTCTATTTCTAAACATTTAGAGATCCTCATTTCTTCCGAGACCGGGTCTCTTGCTGCGCATTTTCCACCATACAATCAACAAAAAAAGAAAAAAAAAAATTCAAATAATAAAAAGAAAAAAAAAAAAAAAAAAACCAACTTAATTACAATAAAACAAAAAAAGTGTCTAAATAATTCCTCCCCTTTTCTGCAAAATTTCTGGTCATATCCCACGCCCCTGTTTCTCTCACTCTTTCTCATGTCATCATGTCATTCCATCTCTCTCTAACCGAAAGAGAGAGAAAACAAAAAAACAACAAAAAGAGAGAAGATTGTTGTTTCTTGGGAGCCACACCTCTCACCATCTCCTGTGTGTAGGCATGTTGGTTTCCCCACCTTTGACACAATCAACAACATCTCTCTCTCTCTCTCTCTCTTGCCTTGTATTCTTTTCTTGTAGTATTATTGAATCTAAATTTCACATTGGTCCTACTTGAATTACATACATAATTACAATCTCATTTGACTTTCTTTTCTTTTCTTATAATAATATACATTGTAAACAGGAGGTACCCAAGAATTTTCCTGGAAAATTCCCATGCATGGTCTTTGACATTCATTCCCCCACATACCCTTTTCATTTTCTATCTTCACAACATTTTTGTAGATACAAAAGCTAGAATATATTGAGCCAAAGGCTTGAGAAAAGTCACATATTTTTATTTTTTTGAAATGGGAGACATTACATCTCCGGAGAAGAAAACAGGTTGTGGCCTTTTGGATGCCTTTTTCGGGCGCAAACCAAGAAGAACAACCTCCACAAATTCAATTCCCACGGTGACCACCAATGGCAGCAAAGATGTCATGACCAGGATTCCGAGCACTCCCAATTCGAAGAGGAGGCGTGGCGGCTCTGACGAGGCTGCCTTCCTCGACTTGAATGGCGCTTCATCGGAGCAATCACAGAAGCCAGTTGAAAACCCTAATGGCAGCAGACCTTCAGGCCGGAGCAATACAAAGGCCGCGGCCGCCCCCCCACCGCCTGTGCACCACCAACACCAACACCATCCTCCTCCTCCTCCTCCTGTGCATCACCAAAATAGAAAAGCTCCCGAGGAAGCAATTATGGTTAGAAGTGTGCCTCCTAAGAATAATAACCATGGTGGCTATGGCCAAGGAAAGAAATTACCATTTGGTGCAACAGGCATTTCCGGCGAGCTTGAGAGCATGATCGCGGATCACCAGCGATCAAAAGGACCCGGTGGGCTTGTCCGGGCTTCGTCAAGCAATGTGATGCTGATGGGAAATTTAGGTAACTTGAGGCATCCAGATGGCAATGGTAGTGGCAATGCAAATTTGAATAATGTTGTTGATTACCAACCCAAAGCTGCACCAAAAGAAGAGAGCTCGGGGCCTAATGGTAAATACCCAACTAGTGTGATGGGCAATGTAGTGAAGAAAACCCCTGAAGTGTCCTCAAAAGCAGCCCCACCAGCCTCCCTATGCCGGGCTCTCTCGACTCGAATGGATCCGGAGACATTGAAGATTATGGGCAATGAGGATTACAAGAGTGGGAGGTTTGAAGAGGCCTTGGCTTTGTATGATGCTGCTATATCTATTGACCCTAATAAGGCCTCGTACCGGAGCAACAAAAGCGCGGCACTAACTGCACTCGGGAGGCTTCTTGAGGCTGTTTTGGAGTGCAGAGAAGCCATTAGGATTGAACCCTATTATCAAAGAGCTCATAACCGTTTGGCAACCCTATACCTCAGGTGGTGTTATTGTTTGAACACCGTCTACTCTGAAAGTTTAAGTTGTTATAATATCTAAATTCTCTAACAGTTATATTGTTTTGGATTTCAGATTAGGAGAAACAGAAAAGGCCATATATCACTACAAACATGCAGGTGCTGAAGCTGATCCTGAAGTGATTTCCAAAGCTAAAAAAGTCCAGTTCCATCTCAGCAAGTGCACGGAGGCGAAGAAGCTACGAGACTGGAATGCTTTGCTAAAAGAAGCAAGCAATGCCATATCGGCCGGGGCTGATTCAGCACCACTGGTTAGACATCAAATGATCCTCAAAACTTCCATTTCATTTATTTATTTATTTTTTTCCAGCTATTTTTTTGGTGCCTTTCACACACTTGACATGGGTTTGGTTTTTCCTTTTCAATGTCACAAAGATATATGCTTTGCAAGCTGAGGCCCTTTTGAGGCTGCATAGACACCAAGATGCTGATGAAACATTGACAAAAGGCCCCAATTTCGATCCTGAAGATTGTACTAAGTTCTTTGGCCCTATTGGTAGTGCTAGTCTGTTGGTGATTAGGGCACAAGTTGACATGGCCGCGGGAAGGTCAGTGTTATTTTTTTTTTTTTCGAGACAAGAAAAACACACACTTATTTATCCGTAATGAACTAGAACTATCAAAGATATCACCATACTTCAACCCTTAATGGCCGTTGCACCATTTTTTATATATTAGAAGCCCTAACTTAGTCATAACATGGATGTTATATATTCATGTATAGATTATACATGTATCTTGTAACTAACTATGATTATATGGGACAAAAAGTAGAATGTGGAGGAAAGAGGGCTCTAATTGTAAACATTATTTAGAGTATTCATTACGCTTACTACATATTGTAGAACAACTCAAAAGCTATAACCATGCTGGAAAAAGGAGAAACGAAAAGGTAGGTAAAGGTTGAGTTGGTAGACTTTGACATATACCCACCAACCTAAAGCCTAAGAGATAAGATGCTAACGCCTCCCTTTGTAATTTAACTTCTCTTATGATTACAAACTTTTTTTCTTCCCAATATTTTCTCAAACCACATGATAGGAATACTATGAAAAATATCATCAATAAAAATGATGATATTACTCTCTCTCTATAAAAGCTTTTGAATAAACATTTAGACAACTCAATGGGCTCCTTATGGAAATATGCAAGGGTTTTATGGCCAAAATATATATATATACATATATATATATATATATATATATAGTATATATATTATTTTTTAGACTTAAATAGGTGTGATGGATGCTGGTCTGTATTTAAATATATCAATTCTCAAATGAAAGGACATATCCGCGATGCTAAATGAGTTTTGATACTTAGCTTCAGGCTGAGTTGCTGAGTTTAAAACATCTCAGCCGTTAGATGCCATAGAAAGGGATCCATGTAATTTCATCTCTATAGCATCCAAAGGCAGATGATATTTGATAGTTAGGTCCAACAATTAGGTTAGAATGATAAGCCTAAGTATCATTTTTTATGTTGAGTTAAATATCATATTATTTAATATTTTTACTTTATTAAAGATAAACTCTGATTCCAAGACTACGCAATATTGACACGAGTTGGGCTAGTCCTTTTACAATTTTTGAATCAACACTATAATAAAATTAAATAATTTATATATTTTTATAAATGCATGACTAATCAAAAGTGTCAGACACATATATTTTATCATTTTGGTCCATAAAACATGATATGCATATATGGATTGATAGATTCGATATCGCTGTCGCGGCTGCTCAACGGGCAACTCGGCTTGACGGGAACAACAAGGAGGCGAACATGGTGTTCCGGCGGACACGAGCGGTGGCGGGAGCTCGATCAAAAGGTAACGATCTCTTCAAGGCATCGAAATACTCAGAGGCATGTGGTGCATATGGAGAGGGTCTCGACCATGACTCGTACAACTCGGTCTTGTTGTGCAACCGAGCTGCTTGTCTGTCCAAACTCGGCGAAATCCACAAGGCCATTGAGGACTGCAATGCTGCGCTTAATGTACGCCCATCCTACAGCAAGGCTAGACTAAGAAGAGCCGATTGTAATGCCAAGGTAAATCATACACTATAAGTGTGAAATGGCATTATTGTCCTTGATTGAACTCAAAAAAATCAAGTATAGGGAGTATTTAGGTCATTTAGTATAAGGAAAAAAAAAACACTTACATTTATAAAACGGTGGTGGTCATTTATAATTTTTCGAATTTATACAGACTACGTTACTACTTACAAGATATAATCTTTTTCGATGAATAATTTCATGTATGAGTTGAAATAGACTGATTTTTATTTATTTAGCATCAATTTTATGCATGTGCTGTTTTTTTTAAAAAAAAATAAAAATAAAAATAAATTATGAGGCACATTTGTGACATGTCATATAAAGAAAATGTTCCTTATAAAATTGAAGGCTAATATTATTCTTATTACGATATATGTTAAAAGATAATTATTTTTTTGGGTGGTGGTTGTTAAAGGTGATTGACTAATTTTAATATATGTATTGAAATGTTTGTAATGGTTGGTATGTATATGTATAGTTGGAAAAGTGGGAGGCATGTATACGAGACTATGAGGTGTTGAGAAGAGAAACACCAGATGACGAGGAGGTGGGCCGCGCCTTGAAGGAGGCCCAAACCCAGCTCAATAGACAGCGAGGAGGAGGAGGAGACGACGTGAAGGACATGAAGGTTGGTGGTGCTGCTCATGAAGTGGTCCTCATTTCAAGCGAAGAAAGTTTCATGGACTACCTAAATTCGCCTGGTAAAAACATCATTATACTATTTCATTACACATATATATATATACATTCTTCATTATACACACACACACACACACACACACACACACACTGATTCTTATATATACATTCTTCATTACACACACACACACACACTGATTCTTCATTTTTATATAAAATTTCTTTCTTAACCAAAATAATAATAATAATAATTATTATTATTATAATTAATTGATGACAGGTATATCAGTTGTCCTATTTTCTAGCAAGCCACACGACAAACAAACGTTGCATTTCATGGAGCAACTCTGCAAGAGATACCATTCCATCAACTTCTTAAAGGTTTGGACCATTACCATATATATATATATATATATATATATATATATATATATATATATATATATATATATATATATATTATCCACGTATAAAAGATTTTGATCTTGATTTTATTTATTTGTGGAACTATTACTCAGTAAGTCTGGAACATTAAAAATGTAAGTTATCAAAGTATATTATCATATTATAATTGTTGTGGAAAACATAACAAAGATTTCAACTAGTTTGTTATATACATATTTATATTTAAATAAAGGATTATTGGTAATAGGTGTATATATATATATATATATATATATATATATATATATTGTGGTGGTGATGTAGTACTAGTAATAATTATAATAATAATTGGTGTACTTATTCGTATATGAAATGTATCTTTTAATATTTTGTTACATCACTCGTGTGCTTATCCTGTATCACTGTCCATGCTTGGTATAATTGTACGTGATTTTCAGGTGGAGGTCGAAGATCATCCTTCCTTAGCAGAAGCAGAGGAGGTGAGCTCATTTCCGGCTTTCAACATATACAAGAATGGGTCAAGAGAAAAAGAAATCGCAGGGGACAAACATGATTTGTTAGAGAGATCAATAAAATCGTATGCCACTTAGAACAATGGAAGGGGTTTCTGAGTTTGTCATCCACAAACCTACTGTGCCACAAGGACCAGGCATGAAGGACAAGAGACTGAAGTCTTTTTTTTGATGCAGAAATGGAAGAAGATAAAAGAGGCTTCATAGGGAATTGAAGGTTATTTTGGTCAGTTTAATTTGCTGGCACAGCCCTTAATTGTTGTAGCACTAAGGAAAACTCATGATTGAACTAAGCAGCAAAAGTTTTTAACATTAGAGAGGAATCAAGGAGGACTATACACGTTTGAATGTAATTAATGTAGTTTGAGGTACTTGGCTCAATTTATTCATTCAATCCATTGTTACTCCAAGCCCATTTGTTTATAAATAATGATAGGAAATTTGATGGTTGGATAAATTCAATTAATTTTATCTAAATAAGATTTAATGCATGTCATTTTAACATCAGAATAAATTAAATTTTCACCTGTCATACCTTAGTCGAAATTGTCTATTTTCAAACTTGTTTTAATATATTTTCTCTCTTTCCTTGTGAATGCAATCGTTGTTACTGGATGATTTGATGGGCCTACTAATTATATATGTGCTCATGAGTGCCTAACAAAAGCTAGAGTATGGTTGTGTTCAACTTTAGAACATGAAGTGATTTGTCATTAATATTTTGTTGTAACGTACACAATCAGAGCAATGATTAAGATAATAAATTTGACTTTTTAATTTACCTTAGGCTTAGTAGCAACTTGCCTTCAAGTACTTTAGCATAATCATGGATGAAAGAAGGAATAGTGACAACTTACCTTTATTTGAATTTTCTTGAAATCCATTAATTTTTCTTGCCTTAATTCAGTGCAAGAATTTATAAGGCAATTTACAGTTTTTAAATGTTGGGTTGGCCTTCAGAATATCAGAGACCCATTTCAGTGATTTAGTCTAGGCTTTGTAGCTTTTGCTGGGCCTTTGCCCTGTTAAAGTAGACTTGAGCTTATCCTTCTCAACCCCATACATTTGAAATTATCCTTATCCTATAAAGGACAGACACGAGTACGACACGATATGGATACGGATACAAATATGACACGATACAAATACGGATACGGACACAATGATTCGGCATGCATTTTTGCTTGATTTGAAATGCATTGATTGAGTGTGTGTTATTTGTCTATGGTTGCGTTTGTGTTAATTATTTTGTAATTTTTTGATTATGGTATTTGTTTTATTTAATTAATTTTCAAATATTGGGTTAAGGATTTGGGCCAAAGGAGGTGGCCTTGGATTTTGGAAGAGGGTCTTAATGGGCCAAGAATTATTATGGTGATGGGTATATATATATATATATATATATATATATTACATGAGTTATATAAATATATATAGGGAAAATTACATATAAATGGAGTCAAAGTTCCATATTTATTTAGAGGCTGAGTCAAAGTTCCATATTTCTCTAAAATGGATTGCTGAGGTGGCACATGGTTTTTTACTGTTTAGAAATTGTGGTGCCTAAGATACCCTTCCGTGAAGGTACTACTTTTTCTTCGAAGGTATTACTTTTTTGAACTGAAGGTACTACTTTTTGGCTTCCAGGTACCATGTTTTTTAAACACCCGCGAAGGTACTATTTTTTCTCCGAATGTACTACTTTTTTGAACTGAAGGTACTACTTTTTTGTTAGGAAAGGGCATTTTAGGCACCACAATTTTCTAAACAGTAAAAAACCATGTGCCACCTCAGCAATCCATTTTAGAGAAATATGGAACTTTGACTTCATTTATATGTAATTTTCCCATATATATATAGTAAGTATATATTATATGGCACGTATATACATAAATATGCACAATTATTTGTTAAGAAGGATATATATAAATATATATTACATAATATATAAATATTTATGTATATTATGTATATGGTATATTGGGTAGTTTGATGAGGGTAGGATTATGATGAGTATATATATATATATATATATATATATATATATATATATACATACATATTCTGTTGTGGAGAGAATGTTTTTACGTAAGAAGGAAGAGAGGAAAAGAGGGGCAGCTGAGAGAGAGAGAGAGGTGTGATCTGAGAAAAGGAAAAAGGAGAAGAAGGAAGAGAGGCTGACCAAGGAAAAAGAGGAGGAGGTCGGACCTGTGGAAGATGACGGCGACGGCGAGAGAGGAGCTAGAGTTGCAGAATTGAAATGAGAAGCTTGCGGCGTCGGTTTCGTTTCGAAACCTTCAGGCGATTTCTTACTCTATTCTTCCTCTTAGAACCCATAAGTTTTACACCTTAAGAACTGAAATCACATATTTAAATTACATGATAAATCACTGTAGACATAATGTTAAAAGCATGAATAAACTGATATATGTATATATCTGTCTATATGTTATACTTGTGTATAAAATTGGTGAAAGCATGATTTACATGATTTAATTGATATGTTTGTGTGTTTGATCATAAGAACATGTTAGCTAATTATTTAGGAATTATTTAGACTGTTTAGATGTGTTTTGGAATTGGAATGATGGAAGAAGCGGAGCTAAACCAGAAGCCGCGAAGAAGAAGACGACAGGACTCAGTCGACCGAAAGGATGCTACACGTCTACCGATGTGGGCAACTCAGTCGACCGATAGGAGGCTACACATCGAATGATTTGGGCAACTCGGTCGACCGATAGGGGTCATACATTGACCAAAATTTCCTGCTATTGCACTGTCTGATTCAGTTGAAAGTTTGCCCAGAATTGGTTTACCACTTAGTGATATTATACATATCATATTATGACACTTATCCCATAATTTTTATAAACAATTTGGTCATTGTATTAGTTACGTGTTAAATATATAATTTATCCCAAAATTATTATAACCAATTTTAGACAATGATGAATTGGTTACATGTGAATTAAATCAGGTTGTATATTATATACGTATAACGTGTTAGTGCTATGCTGAATTATGGAATTGGTTATAACCACTTTGGACAAATGGTAGTGGTTGATTGATTTTACAAGTTGGTGGGAATTGAATATACTGTTATATTGCTTAATTGTGTAACATACGTGTTATATATTACCACACACATGGGTATTATTAAATAAATAAAACTAAATCAACTAATAAATTATTCATTGTTATTTATCACATTTATATATATTGTGTTGTGGATGGAAATCATAGTAGGTTGTTTTACATAATTTATTCATGCTTATATTTTGCATGTGTGCCTATTGTATGATTTATTGTGAATTAATTTATGATGATGGTAATGGATTGTGGAACCATGTGGGCTGACTAATAAATGCAGTCGCACTTGTACCTCGACTTGGTTGAGTAGTCTTGGTAGGTGGTTACTTGGAGACATGGTTGAAATGTCAAAGTATAGAAAGATGATCTAACTAATTGTATGAACAAAATACATACAATGGAAGTATGGACAATTTGTTAATATATAGTATGGACAAAAACATACTCTTAGAGGCATAGACGAGTTGCCATTATATTTAAATTTGTAAAAAGGATAAAAATTGACGCGCACATATATATCAAAAGATCAAATCCCAGAAAGTATTTATCATATATATATATATGGGTGTGTGTGTATATATTGCTAATTAGGCATTTACTACATAAAACAATGGGACGATTATTGGACAAACTAAGTCTTTGTTGATAAGAAGAAGACTAAAGGAGACTATGTAAGGTCCATTATTAACTTTAGGCTCTGTCACTCAATATATGTGTTGATAATATATATGTTTTTTTTTTTTTTCATTAACAAAAAATTAATGACTAGTGTTCTTCTTATCAACCAAGTCTTTGTTGATAAGAAGAAGACTTTTGGCTCTACCACTCATAAGAAACTACCATTTCTACTAATAAAAACTGACACGCATATATATCAAAAGATCAAATCCCAGAAAGTATTTATCATATGTATATATGGGTGTGTATATATATTGCTAATCACACATTTACTACATAAAACAATGGGACGATCATTGGACGAACCATGTCTTTGTTGATAAGAAGAAGATTAAAGGAGACTATGTAAGGTCACTATTAACTTTAGGCTCTGCCACTCAATATATATATATATATATATATATATATATATATATATATATATATATATTCATTAACAAAAAAAATTAATAACAAGTCTTTTTCTTATCAACCAAGTCTTTGTTGATACAAAGAAGATTTTCGGCTCTGCCACTGAAAAGAAAACTATCATTTCGTGCAAAAAAAACTGACGCGCACATATATATCAAAAGATCAAATCCCCAAAAGTATTTATCATATGTATGTATGGGGGTGTATATATATTGCTAATCACGCATTTACTATATAAAATAATGGGACGATTATTGGACGAACCAAGTCTTTGTTGATAAAAAGAAGATTAAAGGAGACTATATAAGGTCACTATTAACTTTAGGCTTTGCTGATGTGTCAATAATAAATTATCCACTCACAATAGAACGAATCCTTATAGGATAGGGCTATGTTGAGAGTGTCGAATCTCAAGGATTGTGGTGGTTCATCGAGTCTTCAATTAATTACGATTTTAATTTAGAAGAAAGATTTGATTTTGTGTGTTGTGAAGTAATTCAATAATATAAAAGAAAATAAACGGAATAAAAGGATTGAGATCAAGAGAAGAAATACTTAGGGATTGAATTCACCACGAACCTCATACTATGGTCAACTGTTTAACCTTGAAATTTTAACAATTTATATATCATATAAATTAAACTCGATAACATTCATTTAATTCAGTTTTAAAGAAAGATGTTTAATTGAACTTAGCTAACTATAACCTATCAAAAGTTGGCACGAATTATCTCCCTACCTACTCTAACTAATGTTATAGTATAACTCGTCTTCCCTAAGCATAGATTATGAAAGAGTTCATTCAAGAAAAACGTTTGAATACCATTACATGATCTCCATTCTTATGTCCGACAGGGCTTTGCCAGATATCGTCCAATAAGAATGGGTTGAGAATAATTTATGAACAATTATATCTAAAACAATGTAATAACTATTCAGAAACTATTAATTCATTAAAACATCAATTGAGTTGGCTCAATTACTCAAAATCATATAATCAAAGTATATAAATTATTAAATTTTCAAAGTACAAACAATCAAACCATAGTACTCGGATCGGGTTACATCAATACCCTAAGAGAGGAATTAGCCACTCATGACGATGCTAGATATCATCTGTGTTGTTGTGGTCTTCATCTCCATGGACCGCCAAAACTCCTTTTGGATGTTCTTCTTCAAAACCCTAAAAGCCGCCGTGAGAGAGAGATATGAGAGAGATTGATGATAGAAATTTTCTGTGGTCTTCTCCTCTTATTTTATATGAGAA